ATCCACCTGCTTCGGCCTCCCAAAGTGCTGGGATTATAGGCGCAAGCCACCGTGCCTGGCCTCACTGTTCACTTTTCAAGCTGGTACAGTTTGCTATCCTTCTTGTGCCCCACCAAGCGTTTTCCCTGTGGTCCTCTGTATTGCCAAACCTAGACTATGTCTATTTCTTAGTGTATGCTATTTGTCTCATGTTTGTGTATACTCGATGTCTGAATGCTTAGAAGACATCCAGTAATTGATGAACAGAATAAAGGGAGGTATCTAGAATTCCTTCCAGGTTTCTACTGGGGATAACTGGGCTGATACGGCACCCTTCCGAAACATGGGACGTAGGAGAGAGACTTTTGGGGAGACAGAAGATGAGTTAAGGGGACACCTGGAGTTTTATGTTCCTATAGGATATCTGAGTGGAGAAGCCCAGTAGGCATCTGGATATGTGAATCTGGAGTTCAGAGTGGTCTGGGCTGGGGCGATATGGATGTGGAAACTGTCAGCACTGAAGCCATGATTATGGCAAAAGGTACTCAGGAAAGGACCTAGAAAGAATAGAGAAGACCCGAGGAAAGAGTTGTGAGCATCATTTGTAAGCAGTAAGTCGAGGCAGAGGAACCAGCCTGAGAAGGAAACTTGAGAAAAGGACTGCTGGAGGGACTGAAGGAGAACCTGGAGGGACAGACGTCCAGGATGCCAAGAAGAGTGTGTTTCAAAGAGGAGACACAGGCAACCTCATCAAATAAACACAGCAATGCAGTGAAGGGTGGGCAGACTCTGCTCTCATGAAACATATACCTCCCAGTAGTGGTGACAAGCATTAAAAAAATGCAAATATAAATAGTATAATACGTGCTACAAGGGATAAGAGAACAGGAGGGCCCTAAGTTAGACTGGGCAGTCAAGGGTGTTCTCTGTGAAGAAGTGACATTCAGATGAGAAAGAAGGGTACGAGTTAGCCAAGACATGACAGCAAGCTGGGGCTGGGGCTGGGGAAGGACCTTCCAGTCAGGAAACAGTATGTGGAGTGGCCCTGGAGCAGGAGAAAGCTTCTGATGAGCAGGACACTCTTAGGGGAGAAGTATCATGTCTGCAACTTTCAAATGATTCAGCAGTGAATCCTGTGGACGTGAGTGTAATGGATACGCACGTATCTGAACTGCTGAAATGAACAATTGTTTTCTGATATACGAGGGAGGGAGAATCCTTACCTGCAGGGCAATGGCTTCGTACAAAGGATGTGTTCAACAAAGCATTTCTGTTCTGTAGAGAGTTCCTGTAAACTATCCTTATCTTCTTCATCTACCACAGAAGACATTATATAGATGAAATGACGCTTAGACAAGTCTCAAATTAAAACGCTCATGATATTGGGTTAAATGCAATTAAGTTCTTGTCTGGAAACACTGCTTCTCAAATACTATGCTTTTCTGACACAGGCATGTGCTTTCTCAGGGGGTCTAGATTTCCGCCCCAAGAAGCAAAGTAGGATTTTCCTTGGTAATGTCTCTAAATGCAAAAATGTTTCACTAAGAAGAGTGAGATCATTCTCTTCCAGGCTGTTCCTTACCCACACTGATTTTATTTCCATACAGGTTGAGTACCCTTTATCCAAAATGCTTGGGATCAGAAGTGTTTCAGATTTCATATATATATATATTTTATTTTGGAATATGTGCATTATACTTAGTAGTTGAACATCTCTTACCTGAAAATCTAAAATCCTAAATGCTCCAATGAGCATTTCTGTTGAGTGTCATGACAGCACTCAAAAACTTTTGTAGCTCACTCAGGTTCAAGGATGGAAAAAAGAGTTTTGGATTTCAAATTTTCAGAGTAGGGTTACTCAATCTGTAACAGGTTTTTT